TGCCCATACATCGCTTTTATGGGTAAATTTTCCCTAAACCAAAAATACAATACATACAGTACCTAGATACAAATATAAGAGAAATGATAAAGAAAAAACTAAAAACGTCAGTAGCAAATTAGGAATTAGATTCTAATGCCATGCCATGCACCTCGCGGCCTGATACCAATTTTTTGTGGATTAATTACACAAGTTAATATTTCAATTTATTCAAATTATTATCAAAAAATGAAAACCTTTATCATGTGAAAAATACATAAAAGAATATTTAATTGCAGCTGAAAAAATTAGCACACTAAATATTCATTTTTATAAAATCATCAAACTGATAACATACAGCACAGGGCCGTGTCTGAGGCCAAATTGGAAAAAAAATGTGTGTATGAGCCGATTGTTGATTTTTTGCAAAAACGGTTAATTATATATGTCATAAGTTCAAAAGCCATTCTATGTAATTCAATAAGGACTAATAGCCTATATCAGTTTTGTGTCGATCGGCCAAGCCTTTTCTTTGTAATCAGAAACAAAATTACGTATTAGCCAAAATCTTTAAATTTTAAAAATTCAAACCTATTCTTGCAATCGATTTTATAAAGAAAAATCCCATATCGACTTTAAAAATTAAGAAATTATTCGGGAATCGCGCTGATTAGTTTTGAAAGATTGGTTGGGTCGTCTCTTCGTATTTAATTGTTATTTTTTTTGCTTCGATGATACTTTTGACGATAAATATGGTCTTAAAGTTTAAGTTGCTTTGTTTTAAAAAAGAAGATCAAATTCGTATGTCAAAATTCTTCCTTTAGACGGCGATTTCTTAAAAATAGGCAATCCGGTTTGAAAAATTGATGAAAAACGATAAGCACTCGTGCTGCATAGTTTGCCTCACAATTTCACGTTTATTTAAGATTATCAAAAAAATGTCAAATTTTCGTCCACGATATAGTCCAAATTATTACAAAAAGATCATTTGAGAACCGTGCTGATTACTTTTTGGAAAAAAAATGGTGGTAGGTTTCTTAGTTATTAATTACATTTTTTTGCGATTTTCATTAAACTTTGTACGACGAAAGAGTTCCGTTTTTTTAATGAACATACTACAATATTAGACCTGTCACGACTCGTTCAATTTAAAAAATTAGTTAAAGTTTGGATTAATTGGCCGCGTTTTTAGAAAATACTTATTGTAGGTATTAAACGCGTGTTTGTTTGTCGTTCAATAATGCGTAATTTATAAAACATTTGTAAAAAATAACTAATATGTTCAGAAAATTTGTACAAAATTGAACAATCTGCAATAGTTTTTCACATTGTAATGCACTCATAAATTAATAAATTTCTTATAGTTAATTCGATTAGTATAGAGCAATGTTTCCCAACCTTTTATGAGTCACCTCCATCTTAATAGATAATAGATAATTATTATTTTTATTAATGACATATCTTAAATTATTAGCTGTTGAATATCTCAAACTATATCTCAAAATAAATTCTATTGATGACTGCTTATTATTATAGTCTCAACTTGACTCTTTCCACTCTGGGTGTGTCTATAACAAATTACATTTAAATATACCAAAGTGCAAGTTTTTTCACATAACGCGTTCCAATACATTTTGATTATAAAATTTCTAACACCAGCATTGATAGATGCAATAAAATTTCGGATTTAGGAGTTTTATTTGATTCTGGTTTGTTTTTCACGGATCATAAAACTGATATTTGTAATAGAGCACATAAATCTTTAGGTTTGATACTGAGAAATTGTAAACAATTCAATTCTAACAATGCACTTCTTTGCGTGTACTATTCTAATGTACGTTCAAAACTAGAATATGGTTCGATTATTTGGTATCCTCATCAAATCAACAATTCTGATGCGATAGAGAAATTTCTGAAATATCTTTATTATAAAACATATAAAATTTACCCTGAACGTGGCTTTGACCACAACACTTTACTAAAAGAATTTGGTATTCCTTCCCTTGCCTCACGTCGATTTATCTGTACAATTATGTTCTTATTTAAACTTTGCAATAATTTTAGATAGACTGTGCTCTTATTCGTAACCAACTATCCTT